AAGAAAGTTCAGTTAGGAGGATGGAAATAAATTTAATCTTGCAGAGCAGACGGGGACAGATGGAGCCCGTCTACCCGACATGGAAAACCAAGCGGGTTCCTTTTCATCACCCAAGTCAGTGCTTTCACTGTTACTCTCAATACAGCACGCTTCTCCAGAGCCTTTGGGCCAAAGCACTTTACAACATTCACAGATCTTCCCAACCTGCTTTTCTCTCCCAGCAAGCTAGGGACAGAGCACTATTCCTTTCTGTTGAGAGTGGAAACCAATGCCCAGAGCAGTCAACAGGCCTATAACCAAGGTCAAGCCAATAGACGCTGACAGAGTTAGAATTTGAACTCAGGTTGATGGACTCCTGTTTTGTCTCTAATGACTAAGCCTTGCCAATACTACCCTGCTAAAAATGTCTTGTGGCTGATTCAGCTCCAGTGCTTGGCTGGCACAGTCTTGGAGCACGTGTAGCCTCCCCCCACCTAGCAGGCTGCAGAAATCCTCGCTCCTGATTACCAGCATGTGGCAATGTCAATGCTGACTACTTCGGAGCAGGTGTCTCGATAACTTCCTTTCCATGCACTTCTACCTTTGCAAATAAACCACCTCAGGTCTAACCTGACAAGTCCCCTGGCACCCGGCACTCCAGCTTTAGGCCTTTCCACGGCACAACTGACACCAGCATCAGGTCAGTCAGAGCAAGGGGAGGATTTCTCTGCTTCAAAAGCAAGAAACACTGAATCTCATCCATACTGACTGAGTAGCGAGTGTCCGCCACAAGGATTTTATGTATCAAATAAGTTCTGAAGCCTCTCTGTCTGTCACACAGGACAAATGAGGAACGATGGGAAAGGAAACAATTCCACTCACTTTTGCACTTCCAGTTGCATTCTTCAACAGCTGGATAAGGACATGCAAAGCACACTCCAGGTCCAGCTGCCCTGGACAAATGCATCCACTGCAACATCTGCAGCTCACAAGCAAATAGCTTTCATTAAACCTGCAGCGTAATTCCTGCAGGGAGCCAGTGAAACCACACAGCGGTGCTGTTGGACTGAAGTGGGCTGTTGCATTGTGCTGTGTGCCCGACGGTCAGCAGATGGCACCCCTTGCCTCCAAATAACAAGCCAAGCAGCCAGTTAGTGTCTCTATGCAGACTGCAGTAGCCTGCAGCTCAGCAGTTTGGACAATGGTAGGCTCAAAAGTGCAAAGCAAGAATTTATTGGGCCTGTTCCTTATTTTATTGCATGAAGTTTAACACAGTTAATGACTTTTTGGCTCAAGCCCTGCAAGTCGGATATATTTAGCCACTCCACCACAATACTGGGAGGCTTAATTCATAGAGGTGTATTCAGAAGTGATATCTCAGGGGCTGAACACCACGTGTTTACAGAGGCAACTGTCTCAGGAAGGCTAAATGATCAGGTGGTATCATGGATGGAGCACTGGATTCGATCTATACTCTATTCATAGCTCTGTTGCGTGACTGCAAGCAAGGTAGATCCTTCCTGTGAACCTCACTTACTCATCTATAAACGCAAAAGTGCCTCTGATCACCCACTCAGCTCTGAGATCTGTGGATGTAATGTATAACAGCAGTGTTCAGAGGCCTCAGCTAAACTGAAGGTCCTTAATGTTAGCCTGGATTTAATGCAGTGTGGGGGGCAATGAGGGTGAGATGCCTCCCTGGCTGCCTGCGGACTGGGAGCAGCAGCCACTGCAGCTTGCAAGGCAGACCGAGGGGCTGGTGGCCCTTCCAGCTTTCCCTGCCGTAGTCATCATTCAGGGGCCCAGTTCACTCCTGCTGGCCCCCAGCACCTCTCATCCTGGCCTTCCTGCCAAGCCAGCTAATGCCGGAGACCCTGCACAGGGGCCATCTAAACCCATGGAAGCAACATGTGGGGGCAGCAGCTGGCACAGGCCTGAAGGGCAGGGATGCCACAGCTCTTTTGGTGGAGGCAAGGCAGAGCAGGGCCAGCATGGGCTCTGTAGTTCTGGGTGGACCAGGCATAGGAGGCCACTGGAAACCAGAGCCCATGGCCATTTCTCCAGCAGGGCCTGATGGAAAGGGAAAGCAGTAGCCCCTGGGTCAGCTACTGAGTCCTCTTGGCCCTCACCCCGCAGGCGGCTGGCCTGAAGAAACGCAGTTATTTGCTGGCTGCTTTCTGCCTCCCTGATAGTCCCTGTTCTGCCACATGCCTCCTTTGCAACACCAGGCAAAGAGCAACATCCACCTCCCCCAGCTCAATTTTTATTCTCTGTGCTCACAATTTTTTGCAGTGGTTCAAGTGGGCCCTGTGCCTCAAACACACCTGGTCATCATCAGCACCGCTTAGCACCCACTGCTTTCCAGGCCTGGCCAAGTAGCACTTTGTCAAGGACATTTAAATACGGTCAGTTCACTGGAGCTAGATGGGGAGAGACAAATGGCTCCTGGGGCAGGGTACTGTCCAGTTGGAGGTGGAGGGGGTAAAGGAACTCAGCAAGGAGAATGAGTTCTGTTTGGTTTCATGCTGGCTAAATGTGCTCTAGAGCAGAAAGTCCTGAATTTACCCAAAATGCATGAGCAGAAGCAGAGCAAACTTCTACCCGCATGCCTCAGATGCAGCCTGGAGGGAATGAAAGAGGTCTCCTGGTCCTAGGTGTTGTTCACGTGGTGCCAGGGACCAAAGAGGCAAGAAGCAGTATTGTCTAGCTCATGCTTTGACTCATCAGTCAGGACAGCTGGTTTTAGTCCCAGTTTTGCCACATGGATGGGTGTTGCTGCGTGGTGCTGGGAAGCATCTCGGCCTGTTTCCCAATGTGTGAGATGATTTTGAGCTCACTTTGCAAAGTGCTTTGAAATACATGGATAACAATTTAAGCATAAGAGCTAAGGATGGTGCTGGTAGGTGTTTCTACTATCCTTGACCCAACAGCATCCCTGAGGAGGTTTTCAGCTCCAAGTAGTATCAAGTGCTATAATAAGTGATAGTCGCCTCCCTTGCTAGGTTCAGAGCTGAGACCTAACGAGTTCATTTCCTGTTGGGCATGAAAATGTCTATGTCAGGATCATGAGAGCACACGCAGGGTCCAGCCTACCATAGCAATACTGCAAAGCAAACTTGTCCCTTTACATGATCTTCCCAGTCTGGTGGCTACTGTTCTGACCACACTGGTGAGTTTGATCACTCATTGCTATGCTCACCGTGATTTTCTCCCACTTTTAAGTGCCAATATGGATGCAGAATTTTCATCTGAAAAATACATGGTTTCAGAAGCAAATGTTTGCACCAGTAAAAGAAAAACTCAAGTTTGCCAGGTAACTATCATCCATTGTGGTGGCACCAGGAATGAAGAAGTCTTTGAGTCATTTTCTGGGCCTGTGGCATGCATTTATTTTCTTCCCCATCTCTCCTTTTCTAATAAAAAAACCAAGGAGGAGTTAAGAAAAGCAAATTTCTTTGCATTTAAACAACATGGCCTCAGAAATCCACAACAGTTAAAAATTCAATATGGAACCCATTTGTAATACCTAGGCACGTAAAGATGACACATTGGGCCTGGCCTCAGTGGTGGTAATTTGATAAGTACCAGATTACTAGATACTTTTGAAAATGTTGACAAAGATTCTGCAGACTAAATGTGGCCCACAGGCACCTCAGATCCTGTCTTTAGATACTGGGGCTAAAACGCCTTGTCTTCATTAGTGACACCCGTGTACACACAAAGTGCCACTGGAAATGGGTTGACAAGTCTATGAACGATGTGCACTCTGCGATAGGCATGCTAGCTGGGGAAAAAAAATCTTAAGCAACAAAACACTTTGTTTTGTAAGTCAAATGAGCAGCTATGGCTCAACGCACCCAGAGAACAAGTCGGTTTTTTGAGAAGCTGCCTCTTTAACATAGTCATTTTTCAATGTGAAGCCTCATTAATCAAGCACGGGAAAACTATTGTACTAGAAACTTGCTAGCAAAGAGTTGTGAGTGGAGGGCGGAAATGGTGTTGCAAAAGACAGCCATTTGCTGGTGAGGCTTTATCAACTCTGAAGACCGATCGGACTATCTCTCATGACTGCCATGTGTCTGCAACAGTACAGGAAGTGTCTTTGCGTGACCGCTGTGCACAACCAGGAGTAGCTTTCTTGGCAGTTTTTGTCTGTGCAACCTCTCAGGCAGGCTTTGGATTTAATCTGTTTTGGCCTTTCCTTCAAATTTGGGAATAGGAGGGAAATATGAGCAGACAGGTAGACCAGTAACACATAACATTTCATACGTATAGGGCACGCCTACATGTCACTGTATGGCGATGTAGCTATGGCACTGTGCTTTAATACCTCCTTTTGAAAGTACTAAAACACGGTGCAGCAACCGCCCATGCTGCGCCATGAGCATGGTGCATGGTTAGATTTTGCCATTATGTCACTGCAGCAGCACACTATAACGGGGGAGTGCACCGCTATGGCAATGTAGCTGCTGATTATGTAGACCCACGTGATCGCTACATTGCTATAGTGTGCTGTACGGCCACGTAGTTGGTCGCTACATCGCTGTAGGGCAACATGTAGATGCACCCGTAGTGTATTAAAAGTCTCTTGTAATAATTGCTTAAAATGCCCAAGGCCTGAATAATCAGAAGTGAAACTATTACTTCACTTTTGATTGCAGCCTAGGGAGGCAGCAAGGCCTAAGCATTAGCACGGGCATAGTAGAAGAGTGACTTCATGCCTGGCTTGTGAATTAAGGCATTTGGGTACTACTCTTAGCTCTGCCACTGTCCAGCTGAATGACCCTGGGCAAGTCACTTAATCCACATGTGCCTCGGTCCCCACCTGTAAACTGGAGATAATAACAATGACTTCCTCAGTAAAGTGCTTCTCGACTGAGAACACTGTAAAAGCTGGGTGTTGTTACAATTATTTAGTCCTATTTTTCTCTTTCAACCAAAAATAAATATAATTTAAACAGGAGGCTCATTGTCCACCCGTGTGTTTGGGGGCGGGGGGTGGAGTGTAACAACACAGGCGCTTAGAGCAGAAAACCACCATTTATTTCATCACATTTTTTTTACACAATAATCTTCATACAACAGATGCCAGCGTAACACTTAATACATTTTTTTAGAAAACACAAAGATTACTTGCAAAATTATATATATTTTAATATCCAAAAATACATTGCATATATATAGTAGCAAAAGTCACTTTTCCTTGGGTAATTTTTTTTAATAATTTTTGTTTTTTTGTGATTATTGCAGTAATGTTACCTATAAACACCCCCAAAGCACTATGAGAAGCTAAACCAATTATCTTGATCTTATTTTCCCCCTTTTTAAATAACGGCATCAGTGCTTCTGCTTAAAGTTATGACCGGACTATAACGTTCTGTTTTAAGGCTCTGATCCTGAAATCAAATGAACTAAATCTTATATCCACACAGAGCCTCAGAGGGAATGTCAAGACTAGATATTTGTGCTCCTCCTGATTGAATGTTAATACAAGTTAGCTAATAGTTTGAAAATGCAAGTTTAAGTCGTCTATAAACATCTGCTTCAAGACTCAGATGTCTGTGGTTTACTCTCTTGTTTATATCCCGAAGCAAACATTTGTGGAATGTCTAGCCTAGCATTTGCAAATTAGAGATGGTTGAAAAATTACAAGTGCTTCAAATTTTGATGCAAACATTTGGCAAAAATTTGCTCAATTATTTTTATGAAAATTGTGCGCTGATTTTCTCTTATCAAGCATTCCGAAAGTTTCAAAAAATTCTAAATGTTGGTGAAAAATTGTGTTAGAAATGTTCCGTAGCATTCAGACAGCTTTAACTTGGAAGTATTAACTTGAGTTAACTAACAGTTAACTCAAGTTAATATTGATAAATATAAAAGATTGATATCTTTTAACAATATAAAAGATATTGTTCCAGTTTGGATTGAGTTAACTAACAGTTAACTCAATCCAAACTGGAACAATATCTGTGCTCCAGGCATACCCAGAGAGGTCTGAGGTGCTCCACAGTAGCACAGGAATCAGTCTTCATGTCTCTAGCCACAGGATCAGAGCACTGTTCCCGACAGATACATTATGCGTGTCTTCTTTTTAAGATTTTTTTTTTTTTTTTTTAGCAAAAAGTACAAAGCTACAGCCCAAATGTACAGATTGAAAAGATGTACAAATTACATTAAAAAACCCACACAAACAACTGATCTGATAGTAAAAAAAACCCTGCATTTGTGACCGAGGTCAACTCGTTTTATTTTATCTTTCTTTTAATACTGTGAGATATAGGGAAAAAAATAACTCTGCATAATTTATACAGTAAGTTGCCTTCTGATCTGTTGACCCTTTGGATGATGGTCTGACAAACGCACAGCGTTCGCGAATCGATAGCATTCAGCGATTCCTAAAACTTTGGCAGAGCTCTAGGACCTGCTGTCACTGACTTTATTTCATTTTTGCTTGCAAGGAATGTCTGTGCCTGACATTAGGTTGCTTCTTCTTTTGTTCTGTCTCATATGTTTCTGGCATTAGTACACAGTTCAAGACAAGTTGTACACCCTAGAACAGATCCTTCAATGCCCTTTGCTTCTTAAAATATACACGCGCACACACACACGCACACACACATATATATATGAATATATATTTTATCAAATTTCCAGTTGGGTGAAAAACCTCATTGGCCTTAAAGCTAAGATTCCAGTTGCTGTCCCCTGCAATGCCAGGTCTTTACAACATACCATTCAAATCTTCTACCCTCCCCCAAAACCAGAAAAAAACCCCCACTTGGTCATAAATCTGTGATAAACATATTATTCTGCTAAGACCCACAGCTGGATCTTTGTCTTGTTAAGAGCTTTGGATTGCTAAAGATTTTTTCTCTTGCAAAAAAAAAAAAAAAAAGGAAAATGCTACTACTCATTCCAGGGTGTGGTAAGCAATCTCCATAGTGAATTTCTGCAGAGGATGTAAGACTTGTAACCAAAACACAATGCAGAGTACTGGCCCAAAGATGTGTCCATCTCTCAGTTCAAGACAGAAGAGGCAAAGTTACAAAAAAAAAAAAAAAGGATGATCCAGGAATAATCAATATCCAGTTTCATTTTTTTCCACAAGAAAGGCCACAATGTTCATCAAAGCTCCAAAGAAAAAAAATCCCAGAAGTAAAGAGAGCATCCAACCAGATTGATAAAAGGCCACTGATGGTGATAGCATCTAGTAGTAGCTGCCCAAGTGCGATGGTACATGGGTGTTAGGATGGCGTGGGACACTGGGGTTTGGGTAGATGCTTCCTGTAGGGGAGGTCCAATACGTTGATGCTGCTCCAAAGAAAGTGGATGATGTGACAGGCATAGAGGAAGGGTGTGGGGGCGCAAAGTTCACCTTCTGTTGGTGGGCATGGTAAGAGGGCATATAGGAGATATCTGCTGGATACTTGTACATTGAAGACTCAGTTGGGTGAGGCTGAAGAGCCTGGGCAATGCCATGAAAGTCAAATTTGTAGGCATATCTTTTGCCATGCACTTTGGTCATAATGTTCTTGTCATAGTAGTATCGGAGGGCTCGGCTCAGCTTGTCGTAATTCATATTGGGCTTGCTCTTGCGTTCTCCCCAGCGCCTAGCCACCTCATCAGGATCAGTCATCTTGAATTCCCCGTTGGTCCCTTCCCACGTGATGCAGTTGGCATTGGAACTGTCTGACAGCAACTCAAGGAGAAATTGCCACAGCTGGATCTGCCCGCTCCCTGCAAGAAATAAGCCAAAGAGAAAAGGAAATGACATCCCATTTCCTGATTAAAAGAAAAGACAAAGCCAGGAAACAGAGGGACTATCTCAATCTTTGCTGGGAAAGTTTCCTTGAAGCTTTACCGATTCTTGTGTGAAGCTGCATAAACTCTTCCCGACAAACAAGTTAGCTGACCCCCCGTTCTTTCGTGAGTTTGAGGTCAGGCTAGATGATCATAATACCTTCTCCTGATCATAAAACCTTTGAGTTATACACAAACAGGTTTTTTACAAGCGGGCTGGTTCTCCTAAATTATTCCCTAAAAGCTGACGTGAGGGTATTTCAGCCCATGGGTTGCTTCTGTTAGGTCTGAATATGGTTTCAATGCCTGAAGTTTGGAATTTGCTACATGTTCCTTTGTGATTAATTGTCTATATCACTTGGTATTATTTTTTCTCCCTTTCACTATGCCTGCACAAACACTTAAGGTCAGGATGACCGTGAGAATGTGTTCTGATGTGAGAGTTCAACCTGCTCCCCTGAAAACCTAACCCACATTAATACCAATGTGGGCTTCTAGCACCCTCTAATGGATAGGTCACAGCATGAGGGTTGAGTCTGCTATTGCTACTAAGCAAACAGGACCTGTCCTTTAGCCTAAGCGAGAGATGCTTGTGCTTTTATTTCTTGAAGGCATGGGATTACTCTCTAGAGATGACCTGAGCACAGGGTCATCAGGCAAATATAACACATTTATAAAATGTGTGAGGTATCTTCCACCTGACTAGTGCATAGGGGTCAACTAAATAACAGATATGGTTTTTGTATTCAAGTAGGATTGAAAATCCTGGGTTCAAATATGCTAGCAGCCTGTGCTTGTGGGGAGCAAATTCAAGAAGTGGCCAGTGCCAATGAAGCTGCTTTTACTCAAGCAAAGGTTATTTTCCATTATCTTTTAGTTCTCGATCTTCATCATTCACTCCCCACAGGCGCACACTCTCCATAATGGTGAAGCTGCTGAAGACAGACCACTCAGGATCTTTCTCATCACTCAGGGCCCAAGGCGAGGACTACACAAAGACGTTATCACAAGAACAGCCCTGTGGGGCCCTTGGAGCAACTCTCCATATTAGCCTTCAGGGGCAGGACAGAAAGTAGTGGGCAGGGGCAGATGTGGGATCCATTCCTATCCACTCCAATGGCCCTAACTATCTACACAAACAGTAGGACAGCAAGTTCTTGCAGCACCCATTAGATTAGGGTGAATCACGAAGGACTTGGCCCTTTCATTAGGAAATAGCTTTTGTCTTCTCAAGAGTTACCTAGTGTCTCAAGCTGAACTCACCTGGGTTGGCAAGACGGCTGCTAGTAGGTCCCAGAATTTGATAGGGATCTGGACAAAGAGAAGAAAAATATTTCCTTAAACCTACCACACAAAAGAAACCAAGTCCTTTGCTATTTTTCTTTTCAAGAACTGTCCAAATTTCCATTTTCCTTCTTTTGTTCTGCTCCCATCCCCTCCCAGGAATCAGGGCCTGGAAAAGTCTCATTTTCCCTTTGTGTTGTTTAATGAATAGCCACAAATTATTTATGGAGTATTAAATGACGCAGATGTTCTTGCACTGTTTTCATAGAGTGTCCCACTTTTTCAGATCAAAATCCCTCTGGACACAAGCCGCACTTTCCCTGAATGAGCTACAATGCTTGGTTGCAGGAAAAGGGAACCTCGGGACAGCACAGCACTAGCAGGTCCCAGACAAATGCATTTCCCTTAATGGAAGGAGTTGGCCTACTTGCTGATATCAGTTGCATTTTCTTTCTGTGTTGATTCCTTATTATCTGCCCAGTCTGCCTCCTATTCCAAGTCAGCCTAATCTACTCCTGATGAAGTTAATGGTGCATTGGTCCAGTTGAGGCATAGTTTACTCTACAAAGTTTTGCCAGCAGAACTTTGGTTGTGTTAATAAAACTCTGAGGATGATCGCACCCAGACTGCGGTGGTGGCACAGCCCTCCTTTCTGCCAGCCCGATTACATTCCCTCTGCCAAGCAGAGTAAGGGCCATGCTGCCATTTGGCAGCCAGCAGAAGGTGTGTGCAGACACTCCCACGCCTTCTGCCAGCTGTCCTGTCCACAGCTGGTGCCCTCCCAATGTGTACTTTGTGCGCTGCCAGAAGAGCTGCTGCAGTGGGACTGCACCAAGCACATGGATGTGCATGTGTCCTGGCAAGCTGATGCTGGTGGCTGCTATCCACTGCCAGAACTTGTCGTGGTAAAGGCAGATGTGTACACACATGGTCTTACATCTTCTTTATGCTAATAGAGCATTATCCTGCACATGTCCCAGTGAAGTGAATCAGGTTTTACTACTGAGTCCCATGGGAGCAGGGTACAGCTAACATCGAGTGCTTTTTTGAAAACCCCATTCATTAATCAGGAACAAATTTTCTTCTTTTTCAGGAGGCAGTTCAGTCCTGCTCATCTGCTCTAATTTTTTTATTTCTCTTTGCTGTGCCCCCTGACTATGGTGACTGTCGTTTAATAAATGTGCTTATGTCTGAAGTTACACCAAAGACAAACCTAGTCCTAGACAACCCTAAAATAAGGTCCAAAGAAGCTGTGCACAGCACAGAGATTGGTGGTTGACTTGTCAAAAACCCCTCCAGCTGAAAGCATCAGTCCTTGAAGTCTGATAGGCCTTCATTTTCTGAATTACGGTACGCTGCTTTGATGCTGTTGACTCTCGTTGGAGTCGCTTCCAATTTACACCAATGTGTGAGAGGTCAGAATTCAACCTGCTGACTCCTTATGACAGTGAGAGAAGCAGGTCTTCAAACTGCCTCAGGACCCAGTATGTTGCCTGCTGTAATGTCCAATGTTAAACCAGCTGACTAGAGATTCTGGCCTCCGCAGATGACTACACTGACACAGGGACAGCTCTTTTAAATGGGGAAAGGGCAACCCATGAGCTGATACTCTGCAGCCAAAAATAAATACATAAATAAATGGATTAGGGCAAACTCTGTTGGTGGCTGATGATGATCTAGTATTATTCCAGTGACACCTCCTTGTACATGTAGCTCCCTAGTGTGCGCCTATGTATCCTGTGCCTAAGATGGATCCTACTTGATAGCTGACAATAGCAGAAAGGGGCGTACAGGTGTTTATTGGACAGCTGGGACACACTTGACATAGTTACCTGGTTGGGGTCGTTGTTGCTCTGTCTTATTCACATTTTGTGTCCCTGCAACAGGAGGGCCTGTAATTACAAGGAAAGCGAGATAGTAGAAATTGTGTAAGCAGAGGAGAAGGAACAAACAGAGAGCTAGACAGACACAGTGATACATTCATCAACATGAACAAATCAGCGAAACTGGGCAGAAAACAGGTTTTCCATTCCAAAGGGAAGATGAGATTTCAACCATTTTCCCCATTCAGAATCAGGACAAGAAGTTTCTCAAAAACTTTCATAAACTCAACCCCCTCCCCCCACAAATATTTCAGACCAGGTCAATTAAACAATAGGTAATCTTGACCTTTTTATTTTTATTTGATATGTTTGTATTACATTTTCTAAACCCAAAGTTGTTTTGAATTGAAAAAGGGAAGTTTTCATTTAGAAGATAGCAAAATGAGATATGTTGATGATTTTGAAACAGGAAACGCCTTGAAATCAACCTTTTCCTGCAACCAGTTCTGGTTTAAAAGAAATATTTTCTGACTAAAGATATTTAGTAAAAAATTCCCAACCAGTCCTGCAAATCATATCAACCTTTGATATCTCCCTTCCCCATTCAGAGCAACCTGGTACAGAAACCACCTTATAGAGTGGTCTTCACATCCAAATCAAGCAGGGTTCATACAGCTGAAACAACAACTGAAGTACAGACTTTGGGTCAGATTCTTCTATCCTCACCTGACCTCAGCAATATCCCGGTCATGGCCAGACCATGGCTCACCCTCCATCGAGTGGAGCTGTACAAAGGTATCAGCTCCTCCCCTGCCTTTTATATTGCAATGGTAGAAGGAGACCAGAATATGGCCCAGAGCCAGTTAGCTATGCCAGAGAGGATAAAAGTTGTAAGAGCAGGCAATACAGTTTTAAGGACAAATCCATCACCTGCGGTCAGCCAGGAATCCCATCCTTCTCCTGGGCATCTCTATACTAGGATCTCATAGCACTTTATAAATATCAGGTGTCAATTCCTGCCATAATTTCCCAATTGGGTAGCACCTCATTCCATGGATACTGCCCCATAACAGCAATCAAGTACTGATGTAAGGTATTATTATTTGTATCTGAAAATAACCTAAGGGGAGTTAAGGTAGCAGTATTCAGTCTTAAGACAGTAAGCTTCAGCGGAGGTTGGAGTAGCTATCTGCAGCGGTGGGCAATTATTTTGGGTGGAGGGCTGCATACTGAGTTTTGGCAAGCCATCGAGTGCCGCGTGACAGACAGCCAGGGGCAGATTAAATATTAATTTTCTAAATTTTTAGGGGCCCCGCAGGCTGGATAGAATGGGCTGGTGGGCCGCATCTGGCCCGCGGGCCACATTCTGCCCACCCCTGTCTTATAGCCTGTCTAGCACTGGTCACCCTCAGAAACAAGACACTGGTCCTAAAGCATCACCGACCTGTTGCAAATTGGCAATTCCTACCCTCTTCACTAAGGCAACTCAGTAATATAAACACTAATTCCTATTTTTATTTTCTTGGATGTTTATGATACCGAGCATCCCTCCAATCTCAGTCATTCTGATGCATGTAGAATAAGTGAACCAAATTCATCCTCTGCCCACATTTGAGAGTTTCAGCACGGCTACTTACTTTTGGTGAGGCCGGAGTTCATGTTATTGCCCCATCCTGTTCTCCTTACTGCATCATAGGAAGGCTCTAATGATAAAAGACAACAGGCAGGAAGGGGTTGAGTTCAGACCATGCCAAGAAGGTTAGGCAGGGGACTAATTTTGATTATGGCTCTCAAACGATTCGACACGTAATACTGTTTTGGTTCCCTTGTCTCTCCACCCCTGCTTGTGCCCACTTAAGTGGGCCATTAGACTCTAAGCACTTTGAGGCAGGGATTTTGATATGCTTGTGCAGTTCTATGGGACCATAGCCTGTTTCACCTCTAGACACTGCCACAACATAAATGTTAAATACGTGGCCTGGCATGGGATAGATGAAGTGGGTAGGAGCAGTAAGATGAGGTTGGATAATACTGGACCAGATAAATCCCTGCAAAAGGTATGTAAGGACCAGTCCTACACAGTCTTTGAGGGGGAATGGCCTAGATGACTTGATCCGGTAAGACTTTTTTGGACTGATATCATTTATTAGACCAACTGCATGGTTGAGATGAAGCAAGCTTCCAAATGCAAGCAATTCTTCATCAAGTAACTCATCATTAGAGAGTCAACATTTCCCTAAACTGACAGAACATGCTATAGTCATTTCCTTATACTTTTTAGGATGAATCTTGCTAAACATTTAGTAGTGACCATAATAAGACTTTTCTGACTCTTTCACTAGGATCCATGGACAGGCCTGAGTTATGAGTCTTGATTTTCGGGTGGTGGCAATCAGTGCAGTTCTACTGAAGGCAGGCTGATGGATACCAGCTGAAGATCAGACCCATGATTGATTCTGAAGCTGCAGAAAACACCCTAAAAGGGACAAGGACACCTGAAAATTTCTAGCAAAGCACTAGGACTGAGACACAAGAAAGGAAGAAAAACAATGTGCTCTGATTGCCCAGCAAGTGACCTCTGGGGCAAAGATGCATTGCCAGAATCTGGCTGACACATTTCACAAATACTCTCTCTCTCCTAACTCTTGTTCTAGATCAAGGAAAGTGGCAGGATGAGCCATGAGGTGATTCAAGAAGAAGCAAGTAGGACTAAAGTCTCAACATATACAGCAAGGACAGAAATAGCCTCAGAGTTGAAATTAAAAATAATAATCATGATCATAATACTCATCAGAACCCAACTTGGCAAATTAAACACTGCCTCTTCCCAAATCCTATACACTAGTGGTCTCCAACCTTTTTAAGTAGGAGATCACCTTTGGCATTTAAAAGCAACCCAAGATCTACTGTGCACCATTGCCAACCCCCTGCCCAGCAGGTAAGTCTGTGAGATCAAGGCAGAAAAAATTATTTGGGGATGCACCTCCCCAGCAGGTAAGTCCCACCTGGCCAGGGCCCCACTCAATTTACCCCTGCTCCTGCCTCTGCGGCACTGTCCCTCACCGCGGGGGCCGTGATCTAGCCCCTGCCCCTTCCCTCCCCCATGGACTGACCTGCTGGGCTGGAGCGCACACGGGCACTCAGCTCCCACCCCAGCCTTGAATTGACACCAAGAATCTCTGAGATCTACTGGAAGAGACTCCAAAATCTACTGGTGGATTGAAATCCACTGGTCAGTGACCACTGCTCTACACCAAATGCAGTTGATCACAGGCACACAAGCTGGAAGATGACATTGCTCATCTTATGGTCTTCATCTGGGTCTGGAGAAGAGCAACAAGACAAGAGCAAACCTCCTTCTGGAAAAACCCACATGCACTTGCCCATTTTGGCTGACTCTGGAGAGGCTTCTTCAGTTTTTAAAATTGCAGCCTTTTTGTTATTGACATGAAAAGGAAAACGAAGAGGCTGAGAGAGACAAAGAGAGAGCGAGCTGGGGTGGGCGGGGGGAGGAAGACAGGAGAAAAAAGGATGCTTATTTAATTTACCTGCTTTTATTTTTATTTCACCTGTTCTTCTTACTAGAAACCATAATCCCCTCTGCAAATAGACCAGACTTAAAAACAACCCCCTGAGTGTGCAGACTGGTTCAAAGAGTCTGACAAGGCATCTCTGGAGGAGAAGGACTGCAAGCCTGAGCAGACAAAGGCTGCCACGGTCCCTGTCATTACAACAAGAGCGGGGTTTCCTGGCCTAGGTGCCTCGTCCCTCAGGCACCTGTGATGAAAGATGACTTACAGCCTGGTGTTGTGGAGTGGACTGTTTTTCCCAGGCTGAGGCTTCACTGCCATTGATATGCTTCAGTGGCAGCCATCACTGTATACAAGCAACTATTGCTGTTGGCAATGGTTGACTTTTTCCTTGTTTGAATGCACAGGGACAAACTGCATTTCATCCTGTCTATACCGGGGGCCTGCAGTAGTTACACCAGTAACAGAAATCAGGGCAGGACAGCCTCATCTGCACCAGAAACCTCTTCTCTCCATTCGCTTTGTAACCAGTTGCTGCTTCTTTCCCAGCTCCTGCAAACAACCAGTGACTTTCATTCCTCCCCTTTAAAAGTTATTGGAAAACACGGAAAATTATATTTGGGTGGAAAATGGTTTTTCCCATTCCATGAGGATTTCCAGCATTGCAGAACTTCTTTTTTTCCATCCTGAACCAGAAGCGAAAGATAAACTAGCAACAATTTGCACAAAGTCACAAACCAAAATGAAAAAAGAAATGTTTTAGATCAGTCAAAAAATTTCAACACTTCTCAAATATTTTGTTTCAGTCTTAATCTTTAAAAAAATATTTTTTAGTATATATTAAATTGAACTGCAAGCTGAAAAATCTTTTGGAAGAAACAGAAACTCTGCTCTAAAAAGCGCTAAAAGGGGCAATTTTAACCAAAAACATCTTTTTTTAGTCATTAAATTCACCAAAACCTACCCTTGCTAGTAAACAGCTTTGGTTCTGATGAACAGGTGTTTTATGGGGAAAAATGCTTTGTTGAAAATTTCCCTACCAGCTCTACATTAAAAAAGGCATTTTACAAGTAAAATATGAAATCACCTTTCCCTTCTAGACGGAGAAACTGCGTCACACAGAGGAAGGAAGTGACTTGCCCCAGGTTATGTGGAATCAGGGTGTAACCCACCTCTCGTGACTGCCTTTCCTGGCTTTAACTGCTACACGATTGTCACTGTAATTGTTCTTATCAGAAAGTGTGGCCCAGCGTGGAGTGCTGTAGCTGCCTTTACTCAATGGAATAAAGCTCCCTGAGGATCTGGCCCTGAGATTGCCTAAAGTGAGGATGCTAAAATGAGGATCAGTTTATGCAAAAGTGAGGATCATTTAACAGCCCCCTGAGCTGGTTTATTGTCCTCTTTTATTTCAAGGTTTACAAATCAGAAAAGGGTGGTGTGGTGACAGTAGCTAGGGTGCTAACATAACACCTAGAAAACCTGAGTTCAGGTCCTTTCTCTACTAACTTAACCCTGTAGCAAGTCTCTCTCTTTGCCTCAGTTCCCCATATATAAATGGGCACTGTGACACCTCCCTATCTCACAGGGAGCCTGGAAGGATAAGTACAGCACACTGCAAGACACAGGGTATGTCCACATAGCAGGCTGATTGGGGCATATTTCCTTGTGTCTAAATCACTGTGTAGACTCACCCCCAAACACTTTTCTGACAAGGATTGGTTGTGAGTATGATATTAAATAGCTCCTTCATTGCACAGTGCAGTGGTAAGAGGGTTAAGCACAATAGCTGACCATTGAAAACAGGTCTCTTATGCTCTCAGTGCAAGTTTCCACCTCTTTCCAGCGAAAAAAAAAAACAGGGAAGAAAAAAGTTACCAAATCCACAAAGCTATTTTTGGTTTCACAAAAATCTGTGCAATGTGAATGAACCGCAGCAGCTCTGTCGGCTTCTAGTCCCAGACACTAAAGCTGAACGTGTTCAAAACAAAATGGAAAAGGCAGAGCCAGGGAACCTATCCAGAGATTCAAGTTTCTGCAAAAACAATATCATTCCCAGGACCTGACGCCCAGTGGCTGAAAGAGATTTTACAGAACTCTGGCCAGACGGTTAGCTACACGGAGAGTCGTTATCTGTCGTAAAACTGCTTGGTTTTAACACTGAAATGCTCCAAGCCATGGAGTTTCCATTTCAAATATGGATCCAAGTCTCTTCTGGAGTAAATCAGCAATTACTTCAGTGATATTAAGCCAGTTTACGCCGGCTGAGGGTCTCATCCCGAGGCCTGTTTGAGACTTAAAAGGCCCATTTGAACAACAGCCCTGTGACAAATGTGTATTCAATACAAAATGGAATTAAAGAGTGCAAAATAAATCATAGAAGCTTTCAAGAAATGTCATTCTGCAGCTGTCTGGTTTATATCCAGAAATTCCCCAGAATGAATGCATACTCTATTATGAGCAAGGTAAAGGATATTAATAACGCTTTGCACTTTCATAGCCCCTTTCAACTGAAGATCTTACAGCCTTGCTAACATTTTTGCTCATAGCATGCCTGGGAAGGAGGTTAAGTATCATTTTATTTATTTATGATTTTAAAGGCACTCTAAGTGCCTTGATGCAGGCGGGAGAAGCTGAGGCAGTGCGAGGTGGAGTGACTTTTTGCAAAATTTCACAGCACCTGAAAGTTGAAGGTGGCTTCCAGTCCCCTCTTCTACCTTTTTAACCATGCCCCCTCCTCCCAGGCCTTGTCCTGACTCCAGCAGAAGCTGACAGCATTCAGTGTCTTGCAGGAGGGAGACTCATCTGGAATTCTAGGTCCTTTGTGGGCGCCTCCATGTTTGAAATTCGCCAGTTCTGCTGGAATTACATTGACATAAAACTGAAACAAAACAGGCCCAAGTCAAGTCCTTAGGTGGTCAGTAAACAAGGTAAGAGCCTGGATCATGTTGAAGTCGGTGACAGCAGGATTGGGCCACAGGCCGGCTGCCCTGTTACACCTGGAGGAGAAGCTCTCACACTCCTCTGATTCCCCTCTCCCCATATTTCAGAGAATTTGGGCTCCCACTGCACCCAATGGCTGACTTCCCATTGAAATCAAGAGATGCAAGGTTGCATGCCTGATACCCTGCAAGGTTAACTGTGCAGGACTTGTGTGTAGACGTGTGGCAGAGAGA